TATCTCCAACGCGGAGATCTACATCAAGTGGCTTGAGGAGGTAGTGGTGCTCTGGATAAAGAGGGTAGCTGCTGGAAGACTCTATATCTGGCAACAGGACTCTGCACCATACCACACAAGCAGGAGAACCCAGTTTTCGCTGTGAGACAATTTCTGCGACCACATCATCCCATATATCTGGCCACCTAACTTCCCAGACTGCAACCCTCGTGACTATTATGCGTGGGGCGCACTTGAGCGAGAGACCAATAAAACTCCTTGTAACACCAAAAATGAACGGAATGCAAGGATTATGGCAGCATTCACCAAGGAGACCGGCCAGAAGAGTTGCAGGAGACTCTGCAGTCGCTGAAGACGGTGATTGAAGCCAATAGCGATTCTCATGGGTAGCTTTATTCTTTTCTGTTTGTAATTTTGGTAAATATATCTGTTAAATTGAGATGCCAATGTTAATTTTACTTTTGCATCATTTAGACGACAATTTATCCCTCTCACCCTTTGTATATGTGAGAGGGATAAATATATATATATATATATATATATATGTGTGTGTGTGTGTGTAATGTCACAACAATGTTTAAATATGGTCGGTTTCCTGTACCAGTTCAGTAAACACCTGACTCCACCTTCACAATAGACCGAAAATGGAGTACAGGAGAGGTCCAGTTTTCATGTTCCAGTTTCGATAGAGCGCAAAAAAATTTCTCCGCGTCCTTGTGGGTGATGAATTATTTTCCACCCTACAATCTCTTTCCCACAGACGAAAATCTCCTAAGTCTCTCTCTTCTTTAAACACTATTTCCATGGAACATCATTCTAAATATATATATATATATATATATATATATATATATATATATATATTATTACTTCAAACGTCATTTTTAGTATCTCTATTTAAGTAGATACTCCGTTTTTTTTAAACAGTAAACTTTCTAACTCAAGAACCCTTTATTTCACTCACTGGGGTAGACTCTTCTATTTCCACCTGCCACGTTTAAGGCCACATAACAAAGTGGATAAAGGCATTGGTTAGATCCAGTGATAGGACCCAAAGTGCGTGAGTTCAATACCCGGTTAAGGCAGTGGAGAACTTTTAGAGGGAAATAAATAGGAGATAACTGATAACTGACATCCATTAAACATGGCACGTGGAACTAGAACAGTCTTCCCCAGTGAGCGAAATAAAGGATTTGGTTCGACATTCCAACCACCTGAAGAAGGCCGGAGCGTACAACGGCCGAAACTTTTAAAAAAATATGGCGACAAAGATGAGGACAATAGTCCGGATAATATAATTAGTGAATTGTTGAAACTTGAATAAAGCATGGAATAATAATAATACAACACAAAATGTACTTAAACAAAATGTATTGAAACAAGAAAGTGTACACAATATTTACAGATAGTTTTGGTATATTCTTGGGAAGACCGTTCCTGTAGAATGGGTAGACTTAGTCGCAGTCGGGCAGAGTCTCTGGTTGAATCTCTTGATTCCTCCCTCTCTTCCCGGTACCAACCATATTTATATGGTCGGTACTCCACTATGTAAATTAGGTGGATCCTACCACAACATGAATATAAACCAGCACTCGGGTATATCCCATTTTTTAAAATCGAGTTCACCCCAGGCAGGCAGGCAGTACAGCCACTGAGACACAAGGCGTTACTGAATGTGAAGGAGTTGTAAACAGGAACATGATAAGGAGTGTGGACAGAGGGAAAGTAACCAGGAGGACGGTAGGTAGCAATTGACATTGCAGTTTAAAGTTGAGTGGAAAGTATGAAAGAGGAATATGTGTTTGTATCTATTTTAAACAGATTCATATATGAGGCTTCGTTCCTGTTGTGCTGATATTAACCGCTAAAGATTTAAATAATCCGAAAAGATTATTTGAGCATAAATGAATATAACTAAATCGACCGGAATTGAACTCGGTTCTTCGATTTTGAAGCCGTGACAAAAAGAAATTGATCAAACAAATTCCATTTGTTCTTATATCCTTTATAATATATATATATATATATATATATATATATATATATATATATATATATCTTATTTCAGCTAGATTGATGAAATCCCTGGTAGGGAGAAACAAGTCCATTTATCTGGAAATAATGGGTAAAACCCAAATTTAGGCGCGAAATGGATTTGAGGCGCCAAACGTGAGGCCTGAAGACCACCAAGGTGAAAAGAAACGTTTTAGCCTGCTCCAACGAACAGGCGATGCTGGCCACGAGCAAAACTGAATAGATGTTTTAATGCCTTGACAAGCAGACATCGGATGAAGAGATATGATCAACTTCAAATAAGTGTTTGTATTCATTTTAAATAGATTCATATATTGGACTTCATTCCTGCTGAGCTGATATCAAACGCTAAAAAAAAAATATGTTTAGAAATTCTCTCTTCTCTTTCTCTTTATATACATGTAGAATTCATATAAAAAGTATGCCTTTATTCTTTCCATTTGATTTGTCTTTCGTTACTCATTTTACAGCTCATATCGGGAGGAGGCTTATACTTTATATAAGGAAGAGGCAGCAGAATTTTCTGGGACACATAATGAGGAAGGAGGGCCTGGAGAATCTGATACTCACGGGACAAATAGAGGGAAATAAAGACAAGTGACAACAACGCGTGACATACCTGGCGGACTTAAGCAAGTGGATGACAGAACGTGGTCTAGGGGAGGAAGCAGATGGGAAGAACTTGTTGAGAGCTGCAGGGGATAGAAAAAGGTGGAGAGCCATGACTGCCTCCGTCCTTACTCTTGATCTATTTTTTAATATTTTACTAATGTTCCTCCAATAAAAGCCCAAGAGCCACTGAAGTTAAGATGTCTACTGAATCAGGTTTTTATATGAAGAGAAAAGGAGGAGGTAAGAAATGCAGGTCATGAGGATATGAGGGATAGATAAACCGTTAATCCGAGACATGAAAAGCTTAAGTTTGTAGTGACTGAGGAAATATCCTCACAAGAGGCTGTTATAAAAGGCATCGCTTCTTCGGAAGAATTTGTCCGTGTGGAACTTCTTCCTTATGAATGGAAAACGAAGAGAACGTGATTTATTCGCCCAAGGGTGTCAGAAATAGAAAAAAAAACATAATGAAAAGCTTCTCTTATATAGCCTTATTTAGCCTTGTGTCAGACATAGATGAATATTATGTTGAA